CCAGTTCAATGTAAAGTTTCATTATTTATACAATCAGGTGTGGCTCCTAGATTGTAATACAACTACCATAGTGTTAGACTGCAGTGTTTCTCAGCCTTGACAATTTTAAGGCATTTGGACCTCAACTCCCAGAATTCCACAGCCAGAATGCTGGCTGTGGAATTCTGGGAGTTGAAGTCCACATGCCTTAAAATTGTCAAGGATGAGAAACACTGTGTTAGAGCATTTAAAATTCATTTAATACTTCCTTTTATTAGGTACAATCTATGGGACAACAAGCATGAAAAATCATTGGACATGGATGGTTTAGCTTGGTTCAAGTTAATTTAGTCCAGTTAGTTAAGCATTTTCTTATTCAGGCATTTAAACATTTTCTTAAGACATACATCAGACAATTATCAATTTCAAAAGGTGACTTAGAGAACATCTAGTCCATCTCGCTGCTCAGTGTAGAATCCATTGCTTAAAGAATGTCTGATAGGTGACCATCCAGCCTCTTTTCAAAAACTAGGAGGGACTGTTGGGTCTTGCATATTTTCTACCCCTGCTTAGACACTTCAAAATGGAAGAGGACAGAATGGTAACTTTCTCTCTGAAATATATTTCTAGTATACTGATTTGATTCAAAAAATAATGTTCTGTATCCCTAACCAACAATGAGCTTACAAGGCTGACAGAATGGGGTTGGGAATAGAAAATATGGAGTTAGCCTTCTTCTTTGAGTAGATCCTTCCCTTCTGAGACATTTTTCCTTGCCTGAGTTATAAACTAAGAGCCAGATCAATCCCCTTTTGAAAAGATTCATTTGTCCTACAGAACATCAAATGCTCACCCCTAAACTGCACAGAACAAAGACTGTTTATAAAATTGTGAATAGGAAGATTTAATTTCAATTAGAAAACCTTACTTAGATTTTTTTTTTCTTCTTGCAGTAGTTTTGCACCTGAGAAAATATTACAAAGTCAGAGAAGAAAGGCGCTTTTTCTCTTCACTGCTCAGTCTCAAAAATTGCCTCCCCAATCTTCATCTTTTCTTTCCCTCAAATCACTCTAGACATATCCAGCTGAAGACCAGTTTCATGTCCAACATAACTTGGAATAAAAGCTCTGGTTTCTGTTTCAAATGCACTCTTTCTCCAAGGATAATACATCTGTCATGTATTAAAACTACAACGCAAACTCATGCTGGACATTCATCATTCAACAGCATTTCTGATCTCACCTTTTCAAGAGACACACAATAATCCCGAATTCAGGGGGGAAGCCCAGTAATATTCTTCCTTCTATGGTTACATATGAAAGAGGCTAAGTAAACCATTTAAATTTTCAACAGAATTGCTCTTGAAACTTGCCACTGTTTAAAGGAAGTGAGAAAATATGTAGCAGTATTTATTACGAGCATTGATAGCCTACCATTTACGCTGCAAATGTGTCCAATTTTATACTGTAAGCATTTGGCTTTAACACTTATTTCAAAAGAATCATTTTTATAGCCTGTTATTTTGGACGGTTTTGATTTGTGTATAGGTCGCCAGCCAGGGCAGTAGAGCTAAAGCTATTGGGCTAAAGCCAAAGACAAACAGAGAGGGAATAGATGAGTGAGCCAAGTAGGATTAAAAGAGGATCAGGGCAGGCAGGTTCACCGCCCGTTCAGGAAGCTTGAAAGAGGAGATATCCAGCAGTCTGCAAGAGCTGTTTCTGGCTTCCTTTAACAGGGGTTGCTGGGAGACAGCTGTCAAAAAAAAGGCAGATCTATAGATGTTTTTGCCATTAGAAAGTCAAAACATACGGTTTTCTTACATTAACAGCAAAACAGTCTCTGCTCATCCCCCAATTTCTCATGGGGGCTTTGGGCTATTTACTGGGATAAAGTTAGACATTTTTATGACTGTACTGACTATATAGATTGATCGTTGTATTATTATTATTTTTTTTGCTTAAAAGTTTAAACTAATTCTTGGTGTATTTCAAAAGTGAGATTGCATTTGAAAACAGGACTAGACTAAAAAGTAATTCCCTCTGCTGTCTTCCTTCATAACTGTACAGTCCTTGACTTACAACAAGGTAGTCCTTGACTTACAACAAGGTCACTTAGTGACCTTTCACAGTTATGACGCAATGCCCCCATTTTGGGCACTCAGCGACTGGCCCACATTTCTGGCCGTTTGCAGCATCCCACAGTCCTGGGACCATAATTTACAAAATTTCTGAGGAAAACCAATATTTACTTCTGGTTTCCAGCAAAAACGCCCCATAGCAAACAATGGGTTTGCTTAAGGACTGACACATTTCCCTTACAACTGCCATGTTTGCCAAATCACTGCCACAAAAAAGGTTGTAAAATCAGGACAGTCACAGGATAACTCACTTTACAAACAATACAATTTATGACCAAGAATGGCAGGCTCAGTTGAGGTTGTAAGTTGAGGTCTATCTGTAATGTCTCTCGGATGACGTGAAATTTTCTTTAGAGCTACAATTTTAACATATACAATTAAGGCTTTGGGCCTGTCCATGCTACTGTTGACGATGCCAGAAAGTCTATTTAAATCAAAACATTTCAGGGAAACTCTTGTCTTTGGTTGTTTGTTTGTTTGTCTGCAAAAACTCTTGGGATTTTTTTGCAAAAAAAGAAAGAAAGAAATCAACCAACTAGCAAAGCAAACCTTCAATCATCTTGAAGCCAAAGCCACTTCCTGAAGGCACTATTATTAAAATTCAGTTTGACCTGAAACCTATAGGACAACAGGTAGAATTTGAAGACAGTTCAAACCAAAGCTAGGATAATAAGAGGGGGAAACCAGCATGCTGACATCTGCATGAACTGAATCATAAATTAAGATTCTGCCATGCAGATTTAGGTAGCTCTGTTACTATTTGCAGCTTTCATTCGTTGGGTTGATTAAACCTAGCAAGAACCTAAGATTTAGACCAGAATGACAGAATTCACCCCAACGGAAATTGCCAGATTAGAAAGAGGGAGAAGAAAAATAATAAAAAAAAGAACTTGCACAATCCTGGTAGGTTTTTCTACCAGCTGCCAAAAAGGCCAACACAGTGCTGGGCTGCATTAACAGAGGAATAGAATCAAGATCACGTAAAGTATTAATACCCCTTTACAATGCCTTGGTAAGGCCACACTTGGAATACTGCATCCAGTTTTGGTCACCACAATGTAAAAAAGATGTTGAGACTCTAGAAAGAGTACAGAGAAGAGCAACAAAGATGATTAGGGGACTGGAGGCTAAAACATATAAGGAACGTTTGCTGGAATTGGGTATGTCTAGTTTAACGAAGAGAAGGACAAGGGGGGACATGATAGCAGTATTCCAATATCTCAGGGGCTGCCATAAAGAAGAGGGAATTAAGCTATTTTCCAAAGCACCTGAAGGCAGGACAAGAAGCAACGGGTGGAAACTCATCAAGGAGAGAAGCAACCTAGAACTAAGGGGAAACTTCCTGACAGTGAGAACAATTAATCAGTGGAACAGCTTGCCTCCAGAAGCAGTAAATGCTCCAACACTGGAAGTTTTTAAGAAGAGACTGGACAGCCATTTGTCTGAAATGGTATAGGGTTTCCTGCCTGAGCAGGGGGTTGGACTAGATGACCTCCAGGTCCCTTCCAACTTTATTATTATTATTATTATTATTATTATTATTATTATTATTATTATTATTCCCCAGACAGCATGGATGGCTGGAATAGAATTCTGGGAGTTAAAATCCCAGAGTTAAAAGTCTTAAAGTTGCAAAGATTGGACACCCCTGCTTAAAATTAGATGAGATGCTTCATAATTTTCTTTTATAAAATATTCTCTGAATGCTACTAAGTCAGCAAAAACTATTGTCAGCTAAAGTAATAAAAGGTGCCACATATTCAAGCTAGGCTGATTATTTGGGAGTGGGCAAGGGAACATTCAAACTTGTTACTCAGTGCTACCAGTCAGAATGGACATATTCTAGCCAGAATTACATCATATGATTCATCTGATTGTATAGCTTTGCCTAAAGTTCTAAACATTTCTAAGAAAACTAGATTCTACTGACTTTGTTAAGCAGTTATTTTTCTAAACTCACCCTGAAGCCTGCAATTATTTTCAAGCATTGAAAGTCAGGAAGGCAAGAGGGAAATAAAACTTTCAAAATTACTTTCTTAACTTCCTGAGAGTTAGTAAAGAATTTTACCTTTTTTTTTCAATACTGTAACCTTTTCAAATAGATAACAAAAGATAAAGGTTTACCCTATCCAGTGGTGTCCGACTCTAAGAGGCGGTGCTTATCCCCGTTTCTTTGCTGAGGGAGCCAGCATCATCTGAAGACGTTTCTGTGGTCATGTGGCCAGCATGACTATATGTCAAGGCATACAGAATGATGTTATCTTCCCCCTGAAGTGGTACCTATTTACTCTTATTTGCCTGCTTTCGGACTGCTAGGTGGGCAGGAGCTGGGGCAAATAACGGGAGCTCACCCCATTGCGCAGCTGACAAGCTCAGCGTCTTTAACTGCTGAGCCATCGCATCCCCTACCTTTTCAAATAGTGTGTTAACCATTTTAATCACATTATATAAACAATGCATTGAAAACTACATTGAAATAATGCAATCTATAATGCAATTTACACCATTGTAATAAAAGACAAAAGAATCACAGAGATGACGCAGCACGTGCAAGCTCATCCTTTATGTATTCAGAGAAATGCCTGAATTTGCATACTAAAATTGGAAAGGGACTTTTATCATATATCGAGGGTAGAAAATCATAAATAACAAGTCACAATTTTTTTTATATACATCTAATTTAATTCATCTAATACCCTCCCACACACATTTTGGGTAACAACCACACAGGGCTGATGGAAACTTAAAACCCCCAAACCTCAGGAAACTGCCAGCTTGCTTACCCATGCCTTAAAAACATAGGATAAGAGAGAAATATAAACTACTTACTTTACCACAAACGTATTTGAAAAATAAAAGGTACATTTTTAAAACAGCATCTCACCTTGCCCCAACAATCAGTTCTTTTTGTCTTGGATCAAATGTTATTTGAGAGAAGTCAACAGCACTTTTCGATCTGAACACATGTAACCAAGGAGCAAGTTCTACAGGAACAGAAAGAAAATAGTAACAATATTCATACTATTAGCATGTACTTTCATTTGGTGCTATCAAATCATTTTATCTATACCAATGGTCCCAACAGTTCTGTAAAATTAAAAGAAGTGACTAATGGCTTCTATTCTGTTCTGGGTTTCTGAAGACTTTGTCTTCCTTCCTATTTCTTTTCCGTGAGCCTCTTAATAAATGCAAATATTGTCAGCATCAGAATGAGGACCTGGGAAAAATTATAAGATGCTCAAACCCATCTTGTCAACCTTTCCCCTCCCCCCCTCCATCCTCTGCTTTGTAGAACAAGATTACTCTTTAAGTAATATTAATGTTAATGTTAACGTTAATAAAGAGATAACAGCACTTTTAGACTTGCGCTGAAAAAAGACAAGCAGCAAAGAGGTGACGAGGGATCCGAAATACTTCTGACCATCTTAGGTGCATACACATTCCCACTTCCGCATTCCATAGCTCAAGAGTGATGCTAGGGCAGTGTTTCTCAACCTTGACAATTTTAAGGCATGTGGACTTCAACTCCCAGAATTCCACAGCCAGCATGGAATGCTGGCTGTGGAATTCTGGGAGTTGAAGTCCACATGCCTTAAAATTGTCAAGGTTGAGAAACACTGTGCTAGGGAAAACTGCTGCTTGTCTGCTCAATAAACTGCTCTGCAAAACCAGATGCATTTTCAGAAAAGCCTCCTTAGAGAACAGGGAAGTTCTAAGCCAGGAATCCCAACTCTTTTGAGTTGGTAGACACATCTGGAATACTGAGAATTTGCCAAACTCATCTTTATACCATTTCCTGTGGAAATGCATTTCAGAACAATTTTCAAAACATAAAATGCAGTACTAAAAGCTAATGATTTAAAACAATATAACATTTGCTCATTGAAAGGCAAGGGGACAAAATCGAAAGACCCATCTGGCATTCATAAAGGGAAGTCAGTGGTAAACTGATAGGTTTCCAACAGATGCCTCAGATATAGAAACTCCCTGGATGTCAGCAGGGAAGACATTCCACAGGGAGGGTTTGCCACAGGCAATCACCAGATGCTTCTCTGCAGTTCTCTGCTCACACAGATCTTAGCAATTAACAAGGGCTGTAATGAAGAAGGTATCCTGTCAGGAATTACTTCTTCAAGGCCTTCAAGCCAATCCTCAACTTTGGCTCAGTAGTTTATTTGCAGGCAGGGCACAGATATGACAGACTCAGCACCTATCCATCATATTTTGGACCAGCTGTAGCCTCTAGATCAAAGTTCCCCAACTTTTCTGGCTTTGTGGATCGGCAGGAAGGAAGGGAAGAGGGGATGGTTCTGTGAGAGCTGAGGGCAAGCGTGCGCGTGTGCGCAGCTCCATTTGTGTAAACGGTGGGCATACGTCCCCACTGTGTGCACAAATGGACCATGCGCGTGCTTGCCCGCTGCTTGCGCAAGTGAGGATGTGCACTCGCCCGTCACTTCCACAGCCCGGTTCCAAATGGCTCAAGGCCCAGTAGTCGGCTGTAGCCTGGGGGTTGGGGACCCCTGCTCTAGATTAAGCATGTTAAACCAACCAGATAGCGTCCTGAATGCACATTATAATTATTTATAGAGTTGTAGCTTTGATAAAGTCAATGTAAGAAATTGTAGAAGTATTCATCAACTTTCTATTTTTGTAGAATTTGCTCCCTGGTTATTTATATTCAGATTCATAATCTAAACTGGAAACTAACAGTGTAGCTTAACTTGGCCATTTGGGACTCCAGTGAGGCTAATAATTTTAGAATAATCCCCGCCCCGCCCCATACTATACCATACTATTTAATAAGAGAGAGAATGCAGGTCTGTGAGGGGGATAGATGGTTCTTAAATATGATAAATAAATCTAAATAAAATAAATACACTTAATTTAATAGGCAAACTGTCCAATTGGGAACAACACGCCCAATCAGGACTGTTTGATATGATTCAAACTCAGTTTACTATCCTCATATACTTTGTTGCTACATTGGATATAAATTCAGAGTAAGCTCAACTTCTCCTAAGAAGTCAGGATAGTAATGGTCTCCAGCCCAAACTCTGGATAATTACTCTTAAGAGGCTTAATTTAGTTCGTGGGCTGGTAACTTTTCAGCAGTGGGTTGCTCAGATTCCTGTCCTTCCACAAGAGGCTATCTGGTTATTTAACATGTTTATTATGTACTGCAGGTTGCTTTTAGACACAGATGTTTTTGGATAAAACCACACAAACTGTTTGTAAGGGTTTCTTGCAGAATGCCCTTGATGAAGGAACAGTCCAAAATATGTGTTTCTAGAGAATAAATAATTATTTGCTACTGGTGCTTAAGAAACTGGCTCCCCTTATTTTGGTTTCCACCCTGGAGAGAAGATAAAGTGGTGTTTTGCACCAAGTGCAGCTTCCAAACAGTCTTCAAAGACATATGGTACACAAATAACACCGCAGGGTGTGAATGCAGCCCTTCCAATCTGCTGTTTATCTACAAATTTCCTTGCAATTTCCATTTCTATTCCATTTCCTTGCCTTATCAGTTATTGTTTTTCAAATCAGGTTTGATACTGAAAGCAAATGGTCTGCTACACTGAGAAAGAGACGTGAAGTGGAACATTTAACACTTAACACTTTGAAATACGCCAACTCCCTTCCAGCATAACAGAATGTTCCCCAGTTACCCAAAAGCTTCAATGTGAAGTGACATATTTGTCACCTTCACTAGTCTACATGCTCAATCAAAAATACAGTTTCATACGAGCAGTGAAATAAAATGCTTTCCCTTTCCATATGTCAACAGGGTAATTCCAGGAGTCTTTGAAAAATGTGGCAAAACTGTTCTGTTTCCAGATCCAGGAGTCCTCTTTCAATTAATCTATATTTATGCCACAGAGTGACATTGATTTCTCAGCCTTTGTTCAAAACCCATACAACGTGAGGCACCCAGATTGGAAACTGTCCCAGATTATCTCGAGTTCAACTCTGTATGGGTTTTCAAAATGTCCCACTATATGTAGTCCTCAACTTATGACTGTTCATTTAACAACCATTTGAAGTTACAACAGAGCTGAAAAAAGTGGCTTAGGACCTGTCCTCATGTTTATTACCATTGCAGTGTCTCCACATTCAGGTGCTCATAACTCAGGTTCTCGGCAACCAGTATGTATTTACAGCCAGTTTGGTCTAGTGGTTAAGACACCAGGCTAGAAACCAGGAGACTCTGAGTTCTATTCCCACCTTAGCCATGAAAATCAGCTGGGTGATCTTGAGCTAGTTACAATGGTTTAAACCAACCCACCTCACAGGATTGTTGTTGCTGTTGTTGTGTGGAAAACAAGGGAGGAAAGGAGTATGAATGAATGAATGGTTGCAGAATCCTTAGCCGTATGATTTCTATTTCCATTTAAAACCTTCCCAGGGGTCTTTCGACAAACAAGGCCAATGGGGGAAGTCAGATTCCTTTAACAATCATGACTCATTTAAGGATTACATTGCTTAGTGACTGAAGTTCCAATCCCAATTGTGATCCTAAGTCAAGCACGACCTGCTTCTTTTTCGTTAACGTACACTGTGTTAAACTGCAAACAGTGATTGAAAAATATGTAACATTTTGATTAAAATTGAAATCTCTGAAATTTAAATACTAACATAAACATGATGTGTGTATCCGGGGGCATGCGAGTGGGTGTGTGAGTGGGGTGTCTGTTGTCTCTTTTATAACTGCCTTCCTGCTGTGCTATATTTAATGCTACACTGAAGACTACCCTAATTTATGAACAGCTTTTGGAGAAGTCTTTGGGGGAGAATTGCTGTAAGCGGAGGAATGAATTGGCATTAAGAAAAACTGCTGTCAGCAGGAGGCACCCAAAAGCTCCTCATGCATACATTTTGTGTAATGCTCAATTCCCAGTGACTTCATGAAAATAAATGTGTAGGGTTTTTTGCCAGTAATACAGAAGTGGGTGGCCACTGTCTTGTCATTGCTAACTTCCCAGGCAGCCTCACCTCCCTTGGAGGGTCTCCTATGCAGTTTCTACTGACCCAACCATCCAACCAGACGACATAGATGATACTTTCCTGGAGCATAAGATAAGACTTATGCATGGATGAATTTTAGTTGAAATATTCCATTTACTTCCATCTTCTTGAACCTTAACCTTAACAACAGCGGGAAAGCTTGTTTATATTGTCTGTTTGATTGATTGACTATCACCCTGTCTATCCTCCAGCAGCTCAACCAGCATAGTACTTCTTTCCTCAGTTTTCTATAGCAAGAATGGGGTATGATTCTGAATCTATGAGGTAGTTTCAGTTGATAGATCGTAATTAGCTCAAATTCACCCAGTGAGCTTCTATGGATGAGGGAAGTTAACTGTCTATTTTGCTATAAAAGCCCTCATTTATGAACAAATTATTCCCTTGCCTTGATTGCAATTTCATTTCTGGAAAAGTGGGGGAAGAAACAAGGGGATTTGTTGCCCTAGACTTAATGCTAACAACAGAAAAGCACTTGCTGATAACATAGAAGAAGCAAGAATATTGGAGAGAAGAATTCATATTTTGTGTAAACAAGGTCTGTGGAAAGATACTAATTAAATGTATCCCTTGGACAATAGAAAAACTGTTTTGAAAGCTTGGAGAGAAAAATTACTATTCTGGACAACTTTCAAATTATACAACATAGTTAGTCAAATCTCCACCACCACAACCTGAGGATCAAAAAGAGGAATTTTCAGTGGGGTGTCTTTGTGTGTGTGTGTAAAAACATTTTATCAGCCTAAGCAAATAGAGGAGAAAAAACAAAAACAAAGGAAGGCCCTGTACAATAAAAGGCTAAACCAGATGCCTTCGCAGTCTAAACAAAATGAGAGTTGGTCAAAACCAAAGACAGAGACTTAAGTAAACCTCATAACTGGTCCCAAACCATAACCCAACTCCAACCCATATGAAGCTCCATTTTTTGCTCTGGATGTTCACTCTCACACTAATACTTGCTGCT